TTTACTGGAGCTTCACACAGAACATGGCAAAGGATATGATGTAAATAAAAACATTAAATGCTAATTAATCAGAGTACATTATGCTAGTTTGAGAGTCAGCTGGCCAAAGGAGCCAGCAGCTTTCAGGAAGTTTTCACAAGTGCCTTGTTGGCAAGAGAAGCTTCTGGTTTGTTCAATTCGAGGCCATCCCATCAAAACTAAAACGAAAGTAAACACTTGATAGAAATCTAGGCAAAAAGGCTTTGACATTAAAGATTTCTATCATTTCGTTATTCTGTGAAAAAAAGGTTTAAAAAAATGTCTAAAACATTACTAATTATATATCTAATCTATAAAGTGCATTTTCCATATTTAAGTAGTCCTACCCTTTACTTTTTCTACATTTTCTAAAACTGATTTCATTTTTTGTATGATTAAAAATAACTAATTGAAGCAAAGTGAAACCATGTTTTACATTATTTTACAAGAAGAAAAAAAATTAAATTGGAAAATAAGTATTCAGATCCTTGGCATGACACTTAAAACTGAGCTCAAGGAAATTAATTACCACATATCATTGAGAACTTTCTGCAACTTGGAAAATTTTGTTAAAAGCAGAATATTCACCATTTAAAAAATGAAAGTACAGTTGATTTTCAAAAAAGTTTGGAGTCAAAAGAGATTCCAACATGGCAATCAAAGCGATCAAGAACCAAATACTTATTCATTGAAAACTACAGTTTTCTGTAGTGGATATTTCTGAAACCCTCCAAAAGGTAAAGCATTGCTAAAATAAATAACCATCCAGGTCTGAAGAGTCGGGTTGTGTCCAGACAGAAGACACCTCTCTACAATTAATCCATGAGGGGGAAAGAAATCCTGATTATGTCAATATAGAGTTTTTGGAACCAAAGTACTAGTATTTTGTCTGGTAGAAGAGGCCCTGTCATCACCTAACAAACACTAAAACATGGTGGTGTCAATATAATGGTGTTTAGCTATCTGATGTCTGGCTGGCAAAGCTTGAGTTCAAATTAAATCCAATGAATGACCTATAAAAAGATTAAAAGAAAAAGAATCTGTCCAGCCCAACTGACTGACCTTTAAAGTCCCAGTAGAAAAGAAAGGTAATGGTTAAAAGATGCAAAAAAAAAAAAAAAAAAAAAAAAAAAAAAAAAAAAAAAAAAAAAAATACACCGTTAGGGACCGAGATCAGCCAAGGCTGTCATTCTCTTCAGATGTACCAAAAAATATAGAATTTTACTTTGATTTATAACAATCTAAAACATTTTTACTTTGTGAATATTTAGAGAATTGACTTCATAATTAGAAAATATATACACTTATCAATGTTGGAATAAATATGATGGGTAATAAAATATAAAGCCTGTTGCCATTTTTGTTAGCACAGCTGGAAAATATAATTACTTTGACATATCTAGATTATGTAACTTTAACTCTAAATATCAAGGAGCTTTAAGCTTTTATATTTTAAAGACTTGGGATCCCATCAAAATGGGATAGTAGGTTGGTTTGATTAAACCAAAGAGTTCAGAAAGATCATTTTAAAGGGCCTTGCGAAGAGCAGTTAAGTGTAAAAGATCCAATTTTCTGTTCACTGAATTATAAGAGCATTTAATTCATACTCTAAGAACAGAATTTAAATTCTGGTTTGAGTCCTGTAAAATCTTAGGCCAGCTCTGAACATATCCTTGTATGAAGAAATTTGACAGATCAAGTTAAAAGTGATGACTAAATGCTAATGTAATTTAACAAGGCTCTGGCTAAAAGAGATGTAATCAACCATTTCAGATTTAGAAGGCTGTTGTGTTTAAGAGGATGACAACCTCTCTTCCTTATTGTCTATGTAATTCACCAAAAATTGCCACTTATAGTCGCTAAGAGCCGGACGTTTCATCTCCAAGCTTCCTCTGGTCTTTGCTACTCATCCCATTTCTACTTCCTCCAAAAGTGCCACCACTTCATTAACCTTGCCAGGCATGAGATAAGAGAGGGAGTGCATCAAAGCTGCCTGCTCATAGAGAGAACAGAGCCCTGCATGTCTCCACTACACAGCGGCCGTCATGCACACAGGCTGATACACAGTCCACAACTCATCCTGCTCACAGAAAAGCTCTTTTGTGTCGCAAACTGTCATTTGAAAATGCTATTTGAGAGTGTGCTTGCACATATAACTTCATTATGATTTTAAATACAATCCAGTACCAGAGGTTTTAAGAGCATTTAAATGCAAAACAATTCATTTTTGACAGTTATTGCCTCAGTTTCTTATCCAGCAAGCACAGCGCTGTCGTCTCTCTGACCTGTGCACTTAAAACTTTGGAAATGAGGAAATTATACATTAAAAGCATCAAAGCCAACTTCAGGCCGATGAGTAACAGCTCCAGACTTCCTCAAAGTGGGAAAGTAGAAGGGAGGAAATGTATTAACTGAGTCACAATATTGTTTTACTTGCAACACATACAAATCTCTCTGGTGCATTTAATCCTTCTACCCACAGTTTCTCAGAAAGGAGGATATAAATTATTTTCCTTTGGTGGAAACGGCAAATCCCTGTCTGGATTCTGTTAAAAGGCTTAAAATGTCACTAAATGCCAAGGCTGAGACTCCTGCTAACACGTAGGTCTTAGAGACAAGATGTTAAAGCGTTGAAAGTTACCTGAAATTGATGAGGTTAATATTCTTATCACAAGCCAAGGCTTCCAAGAGCGCGGATATTGAAAATAGCCAGGTAACCCTTCATATTAGAGGCTATCGCACGGATTAGCAGCATAAACAGTAATTACACATTTCATTGTTTATTGTTGGTAGTGTTTAGAAAATGTAATGCATTGCATAAATTAGAAGGATTGGGATCCTGAGCGGGATATTTTCCAGCAAAGACGACAAGAAAATACCCCTGAACATAAGTCCAAACACTGAATGCTGGGCTGTAAATGAGTAATTTACCATGAATATCCCTTTTATCCCTTTACAGCCAAACAAAAATCCAGACCACATTATACAAGCATGGAAGGTTCTGTCACTGAAATTTGAAATAGAGGACAAAGGGCGACTGAGCAAATAGGTTTTTTAGCCACCATCCTCCAAGTTCCTTGGCAGTGTGAATCAGAGGTAAAATACAGTGCATTAAGTCGACCTCTGAGGCAGCACAGAGGAGGGTAGAGTGAGACATTCCACTATCTATTAAGACTTGCGTTATGTATATATTGTGTTTTGAAGGAATTTCACTGATCCACAAAACCAGCAGGGAGGGATAAGAGTGAGTCCCTAAGACCATGTGGTAAGAAACTGCAGAGCAGAATCTCTAGCAAGTTAGAAGTTGCTGCGCCGTTAAGGAGGAAAGTCTGGCAGGATCCTGCATGCCCGCTGATAACATGGTTGGATTAAGGATGTTTAAGGGAAGTGAAAATTATTCATTTGAGATGGATGAAAGCTGCACTTGTCAAGTCCTACCAGTCATGGACTTTATATATTTCATTTCCACTAGCCAGCATGCATAATTTCCCCTCAATGCAAATTTCTACACACTCACTGAATTTTGGGAGCGTATTTACCCCGCTCCCATCACGTTTTCCAGCACAGTAAATGGATAATCTCCAATGAACAGGGAACTAAAAGAAAAAGAAACAATGTCATTTTGTTTTCAGGGGTGTTGAATCTATTGTTTTCTTAGAACGCATGAAGATTAACCCAAATAGATTTCATTCAAAAATACCCAAACGAAGGAGTTACTTGTGTCTTCTACACATTAATCTCAAAATAACTTATTCTAACCATTGATTTCTGTGTTGGTCTAAGAGTTGTGGCCGACAACTGTGCTTTTCTTTCCCTCTATACAAATATTATCTCTGATGAGAATAAAACCTCCATCCTGAATGGCCAATAAATTACAAGCACGCTTCTCGTTTACTCATCAGAGCTAATGAGGCTGATAAAATTACCTCGAGGATCATAATTACAGGCTAGTGGCAGAGGATCTGGCAGGGGCTGAAATAAGGGAAAACGAAATCTAGATCATATTGCATGAGGCAGTAAAATTATTACACTGAATCTCAGTTTGCACTTCTCAGAAAAGAAAAAACATTTTGGTCCTAGATCAAAATTTGTAAATATATACAGTATTTACTCTTTTAAACCGTACTGCTGTATAGATTCCACCTCAAACTGATTTTTACCACCCTTTCATAAAGATTAAGCACTTCATGGGTAATGGCATATTTTAATGAACGATGGCAGCCTGGACACAAGAGCTCACCTCAGAGGATTCCATTTCATCACATATTCACAGGATGAATTGTTTTACTTATGAATATTAATGTACCTCTAATTTGAGGCTGTTAATGCTTGTCGCTAGGAGCTCGGCAAATCAGGTCCCCATTCCTGTTAAAGCCATGTATTAGACACCCCCACCGCCCAAACCCCACCCGACACTAAGCCCTCGCCTTTGATTCTTAATTGCAGAAGTGCAAGCATTCGCAGTAGATGGGGCGCAAAGCTTTAATTAACTCTAATATCACACATTCAGTCTCGACTGTCACCCGCATCACGCGTGGCGGTTTTTTTGTACCAGCATCATCCAACTCTGCTCAGCTAGAAAGATTTTTGTTCCAAGTTTGTGAGCACAATTTTATGCATCTCAAAATGAGCGATGTGTTAAGAATTTACTGTCATTGGTATATTGCATGCATTTTTTAACTTTTCTTTTTTCTTCAAAAGGTTTTATTAAAATATAATTTGATGCACTTTTTAAAGTCTGTTCTTGGTCTTGATGCGTAGAGTTTTGTTAGAATAAAAAGACTTATATTTGAAGTAAAACTCCAAACATCCTTAAGGGGATTGCCTTAGTTTAATAATCTGTGGAAAAGGGGAAAAAGAAAAAAAAAAAGAAGAAAAAGAAAAGAAAGTCATCATGCATAGCAGTCTGTAAAGGAGTTTTATTGAATAGATTTAAAGTTTTACATAAATAGAAAAGTTTACAGTTTATTAAAACTTTTAGCATTTAAAATTATAAAAACAGTAAAGAGACATTTTTACAGATGAGCAACTCCACATATCCTTTGAACATTTTAATAGCTCAGGTATGGAGCTATTCTGATGCAGATATCAGCAGAGTAATGTTTAATTAAACCTGCTTTTGAGATAAAATGCTTAATACAACCTATAGTTTGTAAGCCTTTCCTCAGCCATGAGCTACAGCTCTGCCTAATCCTCTTTCACATAACGTTATTGCATCAGCTGAACATTTTTTTTGCAGCATTTATAAAATTAGCAAAGAAATTAACTGTCTGTACTGTGGCAAATTGGATTTCCCCAAGTTCCTGCCTAGTGATACTGCATACCCAGGCTGCCACCTACAGTACAGCAGGAGAGGAGCTGCAGCCTGGAGCAGCTCAACATGTGTGGCACCACACACATTCAAAGTTAATGAAGACCTTTAATATCCTTTGAGTAAATTTGTTAAAATCAATTATTAAATACTTAAATATTCAATTGTGGATCAAGACTTTTGAAGAATCCTACAGAAATTGGATCATGCATACTTTCTCCTCAGATAAATGTTAGAAACAGAAATAAATCATATTTGCCCAAATAAATGAAAAATTGCTGATGATAAAAAAAAATCAATTTCCAAGTAGAACCTTTTTTAAAAACAGCAATAATTAAACTCTCAGGCTTTGAGTCTTGAGGAAAAACAATTAGAACACTGAAAAACAAAAATGCAAACCACCCTGAGTAACAATGTGAATTAATCCCAACAATGAACATAATCAAACTTTTCTTCTTTTAACTTGGGTGAATTTTCATAAACAGCAAAGACATTGATTTAAATAAATGTAAAAGACTAATCATTTTCACACATTCCAATCACTTAACAGGCCTTTTACTTCTTCGCTTGAACATTCTTGAGAAAGATTTCCTCTTACTTCTGGTTTTCTTCACTCCTGCCCCCGCCCCACCAAAAATGTATGATTATTAGGATGCATTTAAAAAGGTATTTTTTTTTTCTTTTGAAGTATTTACCAAGATCTTGCATCATCTTATTCAGTTGGTTGTCTTCTTCCACTTCCCTTAGGTAGGAGAACAAAAAGATATCTATATACAAATAAAACTCCAGCCAAAATAATCTCACCATAGAAGTAGCATTTGAAACCCTCTTTTAAAAGTATTCCTAAATATAGATTTAGCTACCTGAGTCGGTCTTCATCAAGCACCTGCACAATTGTGTTTCTGCAGTCAACGATCTCCATCAGTTGCTGTAGCAGTTTCTTCTCCCTGTGTAACTCTTCTTTGGACTTTAAATTATCTGCGATAGATCATATAAAACATTCATGATTTTTATTCTGCAGCTAATCCAGATTCAAACTGTATATATGTATTGTATCTGGCTTGTTAAAAATTCTGAAGGCATGATGAGAAATTGTACCGTTTCATGTTTGCAAGCATGTGTTTTGTTTTTAAATCCAAGCCAAGTTTGTCAGGTTATGTAAAGCTTATCGTCTCCTAAGTCTTACAGTCTACAGTTTCTGTACTCTTAATGCCTTGTATTCCTGAGCCAATACTTCAAAATGTAATAAGGATTTGTTTTAAACACAAACCTTTAATACTCAATACTACTAATCAATCCTGGAGAGAAATTCATTTTAAGTACAGAACATCCAGTGGACCTGGTGTTAGAGGCCTTGCTGCCTTTAAAAGGTGTCCATGATCATCAAATCATGTGATCAGTGTGCACACAGCCTATACTGGTTGATTAAACTCTTCACCCAGGAAGATGTTTTAATAGTTGCGTTGAAAATTTCAGCATTTTACCTGGCTTTTCAAGAAGCCTGCGAAGCTCTTCTTCCACTCCTGGCTGCTGTTGCTCGAGCTCCTGAGTTCTTGCACTGAATAAACATTGATTAGTTTACTAAATGGCTGAAGCTCTTCAAATTATACACGGTATGTTCAAGTAAAATATAGATTTCCACTTAATTTATGCCAAACAAAATTCCAGTCTTATGCATCTTAAGTATTACTCACAGGTAAACAAGCTCTGATTCCTTCCTTATGTACATCTGCTTTTTGCGAATGAGGTTAAACCAGTCAACCATCAGTGGATCCATCAATATGTCCCCTTCTCCCTCTGCAACAAATCATCAATATAAGATGCATTTTAAATGAGATTTACATTAATATTCTTGGTAGTTATGCAATTTGAAATAATTGATATGCACACATCAATTAGGGGCAGTTCATTTAAAAGTAGTGAATGCCATTTTAATACCAGCTTAAAGTGTTTTTTTTTTTTTTATTTCAAACAACTCATCTGTTCTGGCTGGCTGATACAAGTCAACAGATCTCATTTAAATGTGTCCAACTAGAATAAATTAAATCCTGTAGGGATAAATTAAGCTCAATGTCTAAACAGGAACATTTATGTACATCTTAAGATCTATGCTCTTCAGATGAACAATGACAGCATGGATGATTCACGTGAATAGATTCAAAAATTAGCTCTCAAAGCTCATTTTAATTTTCATGATGATCAGCTTGTCTGCAACTAGATTATTTTCAGGACATCAGTCTGAATTCGCAATTTAAGAAGAGAATCTCTCCCCTCATAGGACAGACACCCAAGCTGCAGGCAAGTATAGTACTGAACTGAACAGCTTTTGCAGAATAGTACTACACATTTATCTGCTATAGCATGGTAAGTCTGGAAGTCTGGGCATCTTTGCGTAGACTGCTGCCTCCGCGACCCAGCCCCTGGATAAGCGGAAGAAAATGGATGGACGGAGTATAGTAAGTAAATACTTCGCAGAAAAACATAACCGGTACGGTGAGGAAAATAAGTATTTGAACACCCTGCGATTTTGCAAGTTCTTCCACTTAGAAATAATGAAGGGGGTCACCAGACCTAAACCCAACAGAGAATCTTTGGAGGGAGCTCAAACTCCGTGTTTCTCAGTGACAGCCCAGGAACTCAACTGTTCTAGGCAAGATCAGTGTGGAGGAGTGGGCCAAAATCCCTCCTGCAATGTGTGCAAACTTGGTATAAAACTGTCTAAAGGAAACATTTGACCTCTGTAATTGCAAATACAGGCTGTTGGACCAAATATTAACATTGATCATCTCAGGTGTTCAAATACTTATTTACAGCTGTATCATACAAATAAATGGTAAAAAAAAAATAATAAAAAAAGCATATATTTTGTGTTTTTTTTTTTTTTGTTGTTGCCGTCTCTCACAGTGGACAGGCACCTACAATGACAGTTTCAGACCCCTCCATTATTTCGAAGTGGGAGAACTTAGAATAGCATGTTGTTGAAATACTTATTTTCCTCACTGTAAGTCCAAAGCTGTAAAATTTTTATCTAAGAGCATATACAAAATAAAATTGAAGCTTAGACCTGAGCTTCAAATAAAAAAAAAAAATTGTTAAAGAATCCATAAAGACCAGCTTAAAGAAGAGGGGCATGTAGAAGTCAAACATAACCCATTTGTACAGATGTACAATACCTTTCAAGAACAACTTCATCTGGTCAAACTGATGAGGTCATGATAAAAAGAAATTCTAGAAACTTAGTGTTCACCTCAGCACCAGTGATGTTAAAAATGAAGCCGTTAATAGTCATTTTAAGTTTCTATACAAGTGAACTGGTGAGAGATTCTGTACATCAAATACCAATATGCATTAGTTCTATGGTGTTTATATAGTTAACACTTTATTTCAATGCCGCTTTACTCCAGTCATGTTGACCTTGAGCAAAGCAATCAGGTCCCCCACTCCCACCACCACCAAAAAGGAAAGGCTACATCTCTGTGGGCTGGCTGTGCCTCTCACCTCATTTGGCAGCAATAACTGTAATAGAAATGGCAGGTAATTTACCCTGCAGACGCTGAGTGAATGTGTGTGGCAGTCAGGGCACAAGTGATACCCCACAGGGTATTCAGAAGTCCATACACATATAGTAAAATGTATTTGGGTGTACATCATCTACTGCAGAGGACCAAGTGGTGGCCATTAGGTGGAAAGCGTATTCCTTCGATTATGAACCTCCAAGACCAATGTGGGGGAACAGAAACCCATGTCTGACCAGAAAGGGATGTGAAAAGTGAAGCTCATCTTAAACACCACTTTGCATCAAAAAAAAGAAAAAAAAATGCACAACAGATTTGGACCCAAGACTCAATGTCTTCCTGTAATCATGAGATGCAGTTAAATGGTTTCAGTGCACATTGAAAGCAAACTGATGAAAATGTCTGAAAACACCAAGCTGAAATTATTGTGTCAACAATGAAGTGTAGAATGGAGAGAACGACTAACCAACCTTCCTCATAATTGCGGAGTTGCTTTTCCAGCTCAACACCCTCTTTCTCCAGTTGAACCAGGTTCAACTCAATATCAACCAGCTCCTTCTCAATCTGCTCCACTGGAATATGACGACACAGCCGCTGTTGGGGAGAAAAAAAAAAAAAAAAAGGAAAAAAATTGTTATTTTAATTATGAATTTTCACTCTTGACCTAAAGAAGCTCTACCATCCTCCCCAAAGAATGTAATGAAAACATTTTTGTGAAAGTGTTAATTAATCTCTTAAGAGACTTAATGGAGAGAACTTACAGAGGGTGACCTCATTTCAGTCCTGAAGGCGGCGGTGGGTGACAAATACTTTCCCTTTTTAGCAGCTAAGAGGTAGATAAAACAGGATTAGATAGTCCTTTCTTGGCAGCTTTTCAGGAAAAAAAAATAAAAACTCACATTGTCAAAATTGACTTCTCTTCACAAAATTTCTACAACTCCAAGTTCTACATTGCATCCATCTTTGATCACATTTAAAGCAGGTGGAAACCAACCTGAGGGATTTTCCAGACAGTCTAAAGCAGCCGTTGAATTAATGGGGACCGGGGACACAGCTGGAGGTCTGAGTGGGAATTTCACAGGTGAGCAGCTACCATGTTTTAAGCCTAAGAAGACAAGAGTTTTTGCATATTTTAGGTTGGCAGTTCAAAAGTTCAGCTGGCAAGAGATGAACTTCAGCAACCACCACATTTACATCTGCCCACATCCAAGGAAACCTAGAATTGTTCTCAGATCAATTAAGTTAATCATTGGAAACGATGAGTAAAATTTTTATGTTTGGATAAATGGTTGAATTTGCTTGATCGATTCACATCCTCAATATATATAATTCCACATGTGTTAATTCATAGTTTTGATGCCTTAGGTGTTCTAAAATTTTCAGTCATGAAATTAAGGAAAACTCTTTGAATGAGAATGTGTCCAAACTTTTGGTACTGTATATAAGACAGTTTCATAAATCACACATGAAACAGTTCCCTCATTGCCAAATCAATGTCTTTCTATTAATGGAGACCAGAGTTGTAGCTATTAAGTAGTTTGTTTTAGATAAATATTGCATACAATTTGCGTTCAATTTTAATACATAGTAAAGCATAAAAATTGCTGGTTGTGATCTTAATTTTTTTTTAAAAGGACTTACCAAGGCTTTTAGAGCCAAGGACGGGTTTCAGTGGATTGGCTTCCTTAATAAACATGGGCTCAGACAAACCAAAGCCAACTGCAGTTACAGCAGCTGTTTGAGCTGGGGGAGGCGTTGTTGCACTAATTGAGAGATTAAAGGAAGTCCTGGGTGTCCTACAAGGTGAAGGCTGATTGGTAACGGCTTCAGGTTCACAAGCTCTACAGAAGAGAAACATTTTTATAATCCAACAATGCCAATTCATCTTAACAGCATCAATTAAATGATTTTAAGTTTTGGAAGTGTAGAAGATGGATTAGAGACCACCTCACCTTCTATTTCGCAGTATTAAAATGTTGAAAGTGAGAGATTAGAAAGAAAATTTAGAGTTAAAGAAAATCAAGCCAGACACTCTTTGGGGCTTGTTAAGATGGGAGACAGAACAAGTGTCGGCACTCTGAGGCAGTCAGGGACAAAAGGAATGGAGGAAAGTCGACGACGATGCATTCTAGAGGATGGATAAGCTGAGAGGTAAGACAGGTAGTTTTATTCTAAGGACCAAGTTCACGTTATCCATGAACTTAAATATTAAACCATTTGAACAAACTTACTTTAGCCCTTGCTCGGTGTTCACAGATTTAAGCTTCGCTTGCCACTCCTGGTAGATGGGACCTGTAGAAAAAGCAGTCATACTTTTAGTATTATCAGGGAAAAGAAAATTTCTTTAAAAGGCATTTACATGATGCTACTAAAGGCACCTGCCATATACTGCTTACAATAATGTCTGAAACTAAAAAAAAAAATGCTCAAAATCTATTAAGATATTAACTTTCACAGCAGAAGATAAAAGTGTCAAACTGGAAATAACTAGAAAGTAGACCATGCTCTATTACTTTCATTTCAACTGTGAAATAAGTCTCAACACTTGGCTCACCAAAACTCGATTACATATCTGCAATGATGCACTTTTTAAAAGCATCTAGAGATCTCACTCGAGTGAGAAACATATCAATGTGTCCAGACTGTTTTTATATTTTATGGGATTCTCAATGTAAATATACATTAAGAAAAAAGTCATTTATGTTATTATGAATTGTCAAAAAAAAAAAAAAAGTTCTGATAGAATCCACAATTAAATCCAACAATTATGCGTCCATCTTCAACCCAACTGACACCTATTCTCACACACACACACACCCCGAGTTAACCAGAATGACAGTTCAATAAAAGTTCATTAGTTTAAGACAGAAATGTCAGCTCAGCGCCTGCCAAATGCTCTGGCTGTGGAAAATGGGGCAGAAATGACAAAGAGCTTTGTTTTCCATGAATGTCTGAGGCGCACAGAAAGAATGAGGTTGACATGGGGGTAGGGGGTTGGCAACATGTCAAATAGTGGCTCAAGAACAAGTAAAATGAAATTGCATGGCAGGTACCTTTGGCTGTTTTGTGTACCGCTGTTGGCCTGGTATTATCCTTGTTGATAGTCTTAAGACATGGTGATTCCTCATTGTTTGTTTGGCTGGTACCAACTCGTCCTTCCCAGTTTCCTGCTGGGTCTTGGCTGCTTTTATTCTTCCTCAAACCAACAAAGTCTTTTAAAAATGGGTCAGTGCAAAATCTACAGGAGAGAGCAAGTCATCCACTTAGCTCAAGGTTATATTCATTGCATTAGACTGTATTGCAAAGATGCCTACCGGCTTTCTGCAGATCTGATAGTAAAAAGGTTCTTGTTGTTATTGTTGGAGTTTTCCCCTCCCAGTTTCTTTCCGATAACCTGCCCAACTCTGTTTGCATCAGAAGAACTTAGATGGACATTTGGATCACCTGAGGACGCAATGGGCTTCCCATTTACAGTTGAAGGTTGAGTAACTTGTACAGTCTGGAAAAACTTTTGCCGAGCTGTCTGGGTCTTCTGGGCAGAGGCCGTCCAGGTTTGGGAATGCTGAACAGGACTTGAGGACTTTGGTCCAACATTAATTGGGGCTGATAGCACGGAGGATACAGTTGGTGGTGCTAGTAGAGTCTTTGCTGCACAGTTTGATGAGACAGCTGAATTAGAAAATCCAGTTTTGACCTCTGCATTCAAGGTGCAAGTTTTGTGGCTGTTCTGATGGGTGTTACAGACAAAAGTGCCTGGATCCTTCCCAGGCTTGTAACTTCCAGTATGAAGTACAGAAGAGCACTCGCAGCACCTGAGGAAAGTTTACATGTATGTTACTGCCAACGGAAAACCTAATCAAAAAGGAATCCCCAATGATGAACACATCTTACTTGAAACAGGCTCTGTGGTAGAGTTTGCCCTCCACAAAGTGCCTCTGAACCAAATGGACATGGCTCCTACATGCAACACATTTGCTGTTCAGAGTTCCAGTTTTGTTTGCACCATCAGCCAAAACCACTCTCTGTAAAAGAAGCTTAAATTACATCTGAGGTCTAACAATGATAGAGATTTTTGGACATCAACTATACAAACCTGAGCACCAACTTTATCTGACATCGGTGATTTACAAGCAGTGATAGTGGAAGGTAAACGATTCTCAATGCCAGATTTAGACTCCAAGATTTTGGCCACTACTGGCTGATTTTTCTTTTCAGATGGCTCTTCTTTGGAGCCCTCTGCTGGTCTTTTCACTCCTCCCACTAAGGAGAAGTTACATTAAAGTAAAATTTACACCAAAACCACCAAAGAGCATCTGACATTTTTATAAGGGCCAAAGGATTTCAATGGCTAAAGAGATCACTCACTTGGTGGCCGTCCTTTGAAGTAGTTGTAGTACTGGGACACATAAGTTAAAATGCTCAGCCTGTCAGGGATCCTTAATGCCACCATGTCTTCAGCATCCAGCAAAGCTGGAATGCCCAACTTTTCTTCTGCAACTTGAAAGGCCTGAAAAGGATTGTTTTAAATGCAAAGGATACAACAGATATAGTTCAAGAGCTTTTTCCTGACAATGAAAGAATTTCAGTGTGCTTAAAAATATAAATGACTAAATAACATGAAAGTATTCAGTACTGGAGTTTAGAAGGGTCAAGAAAAGGGTGAAGACTTCCTGCCACCGTGTGGGGAATTATATCAGCAGTAATTTAGCATCAGCACTTTTGATAATATAAATTGCTATTCATCGCACTAACAATTGTGTTTAAAAGACTAAAAAATTACACCATGCAACAGACAAGGTTTCAACTTAAAGAGTGGGGGGACCTACTAAGGAACATGATACAATTCATGAAATATAGAGAAGTGTAAATTACTTTACTCATGTTTCAGAACAGGGAGAATCAACAGAGACTCTAAACTTAAACCTGATGAAACAGGCTAGTCCCTGGCCACAAATCTGTCAGTCTTGCCACACTGAAGGAGTGTACGTCAGAGAGAGATCCATCATGGTGTGGATCGAATAGCAGATGACAGCAAGCTTCATTCAAAATTAATAGCCTGGACAGCCATGCCCCTGGGATCAGGTTTTTGCTGACTTTACCAGGATCGCCCAGGACAACAAGGAAGTAGTGCAAAGAATAGTACTCTACAGGAGCCCCAGCTCTCAGAGGATATGATGGCAGAGGACTAAATCAATTATACCATCTAAGAGGTTAGCCAAATAAAGTGGATAAAAATAATAAAGTCTTAAGTGGAGTTGCAGACTGTAGTATGAATATGTGCAAACAGCTTAAACAAAAATTAAACCAGTGACATAAATGCAAAGAAAAAAAATATTGCATATTGCAGCCTTTGTGGTGTTAGGATAATCATCACTGATGATGTTTGAGTTTGTTACATCTTGGTATTGACTGCCTGTTTGTCAGAACTGATGTTTTCCACAATAGTGAATCTAATTAAGACAGTTCCTCTGTGTGGATACAGAGTTATAATCTTCATTTTGTACGTGGCAAAGATTTGGAAATGGAATGAGAGCGGTGTCCTTCAACTAAGAACGAAGTGTAATATTTTGATAAGGCTGAAGCCATGGATGTCTACTGATCTGCTAACTTGTATGATGTTAAATATGATGATGTGGCAGACTGCAGTTGTATAAAAAATGCCTTTTTAGCTGTTAATCGGAGCCACTTTCTGAGAGGGGAGCAGCTGCCATTCTGTAAACTCTAAGCAACTTCTCTGATCTGAGTAAGATTACCATTTAAATCAAAATCTGTTGTCATGTCTCCTGGTTATTTAATACATATAAGTTGTGAATTGTTATTTAAAGAGTCCATCCCAAGTGAGGTCTTTTCAGGAAAAAGTACCAGAGAGATAGAGCATCAAAGTGCATACACAGAACAATGATTACTATCCCAGGTAGAGGCAAACACAAAAAAATGGTTTGCAATTTAAATGTAATTTTTTATCCATGTTGGAAACTAAAGGGTGTAGAGCTGGACATCCTTACCAGTCTATTGTTCTCAAACACATCCTCTTTTTTGAGCGAGTCATAGTCTCTGAAAATAAAAACCAAAAGGAATACATAGGGATGTTAGACAGATAAAATTTTATCTAATCTAGTAGATAAATGCAGGATGATTAAGTTTTTATTTTAGTTTAGTTAGTTTTGTATTCAGAAAGTCATCCTTATAATTAGGACAAAACAAAACAACCTGCAGTTTGAAACACTTACATGAGATCCGGTCTGTATTTGTGGATAAGAGCACAAAATGCCAGTCCACTCCTGAAAGAAGTAGTCATGTTGGTAATGGCAACATCTCTGTATCCATCACACTGCATTTTACACCACTGCTCCAAAGCCTTGATGGCTGCCATGCTTCCAGCGCTGCACTTCACTCAGACCTGAATTTAGAAAACGGAAAAGTTCCACCTCTGAGTGTTTGTGGAGGAGGAAAGAGACAAAGTTTTCCTGCTCACAGCAGCTGCGTCCGGTTTCCTTCTGGTTTACCCTCTGGGAAGAGTTTGTGTTGCTGCTGCCGCAGTGGTGTGGGTTTCTCAGCTCATTACACTAATTGGCACTGACTGGTAGTCCTTCATTCACAACAGCTGATTAAACTGGCCCTTAAATGGGCTCCAAAAAGAACAATGTGCAATTCATGATTCATGTACTTTTCCGCTTAACCGCGGCCAAATATTTTAAAGTAGCCTATGTGATTGATTTTTGTTCAACCTAAAGCGTGTAGTTGAGTTATGAACTTAAACTAGTCAGCTTAAGTAGCATGGCTCTTTAAAATTGCAGCAATTAGGGGTTTACTGGCTGCCTTATTGGTTTTTAGAAGCTTATTTGCTTTCTATGGCAGTACAAAGCATGTTTATTTGAATTCAATATTCAAATTTATGATAATTATAGAGGAAATTGGCTAAATTCAACAATTGATACTGAAATGTAAGGCTCCCATAGGAGGAAAGAAACACGTTTTACACCAGTAGTTTTAGAGATGGAGCCACTATAGAAACATGACTCTGAACTGGGTACTCTAAATGTTTAATATTGGACAGTTCAGAAGGCTAGTGAGATCATTCAAAGTTTAAGCCTTAAATAAACTGAAGGCTAATGCAGAAGTGGTATTACCACTTCTGCATTTGTCCTGACTGACAAAAAAAAAAGATTGATCTTATGTAATTTTTTCTGTCGTACTTTTTCTTCATAGTGATGTATTCTCTTTGTAAACATCTATGAAATTAAAGAAAAGCCATTTAATGACTGTCCGAGTGTTTGTCTGCTGGTGCATGTTTAGTAATAGATGTTGTGCGGAGTGTGTGAATGAATGGCTGAATGACTGAATGTATTGCATAGTGCTTTGTCAGGTTTCCTGACTTGGAAAAAGTGCTGTGTAAGTCCAGGCCATTGGCAATTTTACCGTTAAAAGTTGTGATTCTTGGTCTAATTAAACCTGGTTGTGTTCTAATGTATAACTTTGCATTTTGTCTTTTTTTTCACTAACCATCCAAATCATCTAGTGAAGATTCTCAGTCATTCAGGCTTTTTCAATTCAAAATGTCCCAAAATGTGTGAAATTTTGAATTGCAAAGGCTTCCTGGATGGGAAGTGAAATGTCTTCAGACTTTGAAACCAAGCCCAGTGGAGTTCTTTTTAACTTTTTTGGAATTCTGTTATTGCTGTTATGGATACACGTACTAGTAGTGAAAGGAGTGTGCCTACTGTGTGTGATTTATCATCAGCATTTAGGGCTACATGAAAGCCTTGAAGAAACTGATATGTCATCTTTGTTTCTAAAATGTGCAATTGCCAAGTTACACAAAGTAGCTACTGTCTGTTAGTTAGAAGCTAAACTAAATTGGCATACATATGTTATATAAGACAAATACGAGGTAATCTATGATTGCGGCCATATTATATGGTTACTGATAACTTATATTTAGAAGGTAACACATAATTTTACGAATAGATATATTTTATCCATCAAATTGTGTTGAATTTTGAAATAAACATGCTCATTTACCATTATTGGACTAGGTTGTGGTCAAGTAGGTTAACATTTTACAGCTACCCTCCAACTTTTCATATTTTATTATACCTCAAATTGAATAGCTATGGAGAAAACTTTAAAAAAGATTCTAGATTAGCAGGTAATTCATTCTATGAGAGTAATAAATGAAAAAGGCTGGATCTGACCTATTTAGAAAAGTAACATGTGACCTACTGATCTTGTCAGTGAGGGTTCAAACCTCTGACTCATGCAATGTAATTAGACCAGGGCTTAATTGAAGTCTGTGAAATGTGAGAAACCTGCATTGACCCTTATTCACTCAAACTGTCACAACTGTTTATTTATAGTCACTAGATCAGACAATCGCTACCGTAGCAAATAATTTTATATTTCTAAAATGTTGATTTAAGGTTTTTATACATATATATGTATAATAAATGTAGAGAGTGCAGATTGACTCTTCTAAATATTTTTTTCTGTTTGTAAAAGCACTTATGTGCCCAGTAGGGGGCAGTGTCTCACTGCACTGTTGGAGGACTTTGTTGTGGTATAAACTCTAGACAGAATTTGAACGTCTTGAAAAGAGGTATTTTTCTTATCTAAAGGAAGACTTTTGAGATTTGGTTTAATCTTGATGAAATTCAAAAAAAAAAAAAAAGGTAAAGTCTGATTATTAAGGACAAATTCTCGCCTGTAATTTTGGATTTATGGCTTAATTAAAACCATTTATATTTACAGCTTTGCTTAAAAACAATTTAAAAAAAGAACAAAAACTATATCACTTTAAAGGTCTCTAAAAACAAAATTCTACTGTGCAGTTTATCTGCAGAACCTGGATTTATGATTTCATTTTTTAGCTATTTCCCCCTTTTCCTGAGAGGAACATGTCAATACATGCAGACATCCTGGCTGTGTGTGACTGTAACCTAAGAGGTCAGGGATGTCATTAGTGAACTCATTCAGAAATTTCTTGACTGTATCCTATCTAAGCTGTGCCCTGATGTCAACATTTGTCATCAGTCATTGTTACCTGATAGGGCCTCAGCATAGTGGAGCATTCCATGAATATATCATCAATCATATTTAAGGTGCGCTGAAAACTGCATTCAGAGACATGAGTGTGAATAAAATCCCCAGATCTTAAACAAAGCACACAATTTATAACCTACAGTAAACCGTCACACCAGCTAGACAACCACATTGCATATCATATATTTCTTTGTATAAACTCTCAAAAAAATGTTAAGTAATTGCAGAATTTTATCTATACAAAGCGTAAGTTTTGTACTTTATAGTCTGCCAAGACTATTACGTCCATTATTACCTCCTAGCTCTTTCGTACTTAGATTAACAGGTTAATACAAGTCCTGAATTCTGTTGTTCTTGTTTTCACAAATAAAATTTGTGCAAAAATGTGTTTTTTATGTTATATATTTTGGTCATTTTACACATTTTTAGATGGAAGAACAACAAAAGACGCCCTTAAAAAACAACAGTTCTTATGTCTAAGAAATCAAAGAAACATGTCTCCTGATTTAGTTGTTTTACTAAATAATACATTTAATGATTCATTTAATCACGTTTTTTCTTCATTGTAAGCATACAAAAACAATATTTTATCCTGTATACAGAGACCTAAACACTAACTGTGATAATATATCCTAGAGTTCACTTCTATTATACTGTACTTCTTTATATTTTAAATAGAGGCTAAAAAAAAGCAATTCGAACCTCCCACCTTAGCTGTTAAATACAAGCTAATTAAAAATTATCCAATCTGAGCATCATTTCAGGGGGTTAGAATTTACATATAATCAAATGTTGTTCACTTTTTTTCATATTATTGGACAAAAAATGGAACACTTTCACAAAAAACAATACATTGGCCTATATATTCATATTTATTAAGGCACAAATCGTCTGATTTTACCTTTAAATACTCCTTTTTGTAGAAATTCATATTCAAAGTCAAAATAATTTTGGTATGATTTTAGTAAATTAAATTCCCTTATATTTTTTTATTAATTGGGTAGAAAGTATATAGTTAATATATTCATACATTTATTTATTCATGTCTCAATTATTAATAGCTAAGTGATGAAATGCTTCCCCAGAAGTTCAAACAATGGCTGTATGCTGACGGTGTCCAGAGTTTATCTGTATAAACAGGAAGAAGGAATATGATTAGTCACTGAGAATGGCATCAGTTTCCTGCGTTTGTGCCTGCGAGTCACTGCCTGACATGTTTACAGTGCTGTGAATCTCAGCCTCGTGCTCTCTGGCTTTGGCCCGTAGCTTGGCGATGCTACAGGAGCGCAGCTCCTCTGAGCTGGGCCCCTCCTGCCTCTCCCACTTCCCCAAACTCAGGGTCACAGGCTGCTTCCGCAAACCCTCTGAAGAAGCCGGAGCTTTTGTCCATGGGTAGATCTCTCTTTCCTGTTGTCTCTCCCAAGCTTTGCACTTGGGACTTTCTGCTTGTATGAAAATTGTGCTCTCCTGCTCACAAGATTCATCATTTCTTTTCATTGGAGGCCGGGTAAGCTGGCCCTGGATTTTTAACTGCCGCCTCATCTTCGCTCGACGGTTTTGAAACCAAACCTAAAAGCAAATGAAAGGAAAACATACAGGCAGTCAAACATTGTGAGAACATTTTTATTTTTTTCTAGTACTTTTATATATTAATAAAAAAACTAATTAGGTGTCATTGATTAAAAAAATGGTTCTTAAGTTTCCATGTGATTTCTTGCAATAGAAATACGTAAACCTTACTTATATTTAACAGGATATAAAACTGCTACACAATAAAAAAAAAAAAAAAAAAACTGTAAAAGCACCAAAAATCAAAAACATAAAAAAGAGAGAAAAAGAACAAAACAGCATTCATGCAACATCACACAGCATAATACTAGTGAAAATGTGATCTAAAATAATGACTTGCTTCTTAGAAGAACAGTCAACACAGCACAAATACAGAGGCAAACCATTCCAGAATCTGGGAGCCGTAGCTCTATAAATCGATCTGCTCTGGTCCTAAATGGAGTTTGTGGAAACAATAACTAACTTTAACTGGAAAATCTCACACTGTTTGGATAGAAATATGAATGTAAAATATTGATGGTTTATGCTTGATCACTTAGAGCTCTAAATACAGATAAAAAATGTTAAATGAACTCTTAAATATACAGGTAGCCAATGTAAAGAGATTAAAACCGGAGTAAAGCGCTATCTCTGTCATGTACTGGTTAAAAACTTTACAGCAGCACTGAAATGACTACAGGTGGTCAAGATTCTTCTTTCCAAACAATTAAAATGGTCAAAACTAGATGAAATTAAAGCATGAAAAATCATCTGTAATTCAGCCTTTGACACCAAAGTTAGTTTAAAGAAACATTATTAATTTCATCACACAGCTTACTTATTGTTCTAAAAGTCTACTAATTGTCTAATTAAATATTTACCTATTTGTACAAAATGAAATTGAATA